TATGTATGTATGTATGTACATCCTATGTATGTATTTATATATGCAAGTGCTAAGATCAACTTAAAATTTCCACTGCCTGTAACAATGTCAGCTTAAAATTTGGGCACCACCATTTTGACACCCCAACCATGCAAAAGTTTGCCTAGACTGGACTTCCTGTGAATTCAGCTCGAAATAAATAAAGTGATTATCGAACTTTATTTGCTTACTGCTTCGCTGTGTAAATACCAAAATATTAATTGCAATTATCTGGTGTAGACTGTACTCATATGTATATATGTAAGTACATACATGTATGCATACCTGTAAATGCTGTCAATGAGCATCATCAACGTCACTTTAATTATCATTAGAACCTGTGAATGTCAATGACAGCAAGGAATGTCATAGCGGTCGGCTGATCTGGATGCACAACGATTTATTTTTGTTGGCTGCTGCGACTGCTTTTGCTTTTTCATTTCGTGTGCGTCATGCCGCCACTTTGCCGTGCACTCTTTCAGTGTATATATACGTAAGTATATGTATTTGTAAATATTAGGAATTAAAATAGATTTCTTACAAAACAACAAAGCTGCCGACGGCCTTCACCTGTATGCTCTTGAAGAAGGCCTGAGCAAATTAGTTTTTGCCCTCACTTAGGGATTAAATGTAGTACTACTTAGTTAATTACACGGTGCTATAAAAAAAAAAAATCTCGAAATACACCTGAAACAAAATTTGGTGTAGGTTGTGTAGGTGGGGTCGAGTACAAATTCCCACATTTGGTCGAGATCGGTGAAGTAGTTTTTGAGATACACATACATGATGTAAGAGGGCGGTGCCACGCCTATTTTCTAAAAATTTTATTTTATTTCTATATATATACAAACTATCAGTAAATATTGAGGAATTTCTTAGCCACACTGCTCAAAAAATCTGAATGTCCGGCGCATACACATACATATAGGCCGTATTTATACTTAAACTGCTTAAATTCGACAATTTTAATGGAATTGCATTAGTTGAGGCATAAATTTATTCGACAATAAATGTACCTTTAGATAAATACTACATATTTGGCAACCTTCATAGAAATTCTTGAAATTAGGTCAAAGTTGAAAAAATTATGAAAAATTGGGTATTTTGAAATTTTACCTGAAGAAAACTCTCCACAAGCTAACAATAACATCGTTTAAAAGGCCTATAAATCCCCTTTTCATGGCACGTTTGATTTTTAAAATCGGATGAAAAATTGCCAAGCTGTTCATAGGCAACTGCGCAGGTTTTACGCCCACAGCCACACCTTGAAAGAGCGTTTTGAGAGCGCTGCGAATATGGAGTGAGAAGGGAGTCAAAATGTTTTCATGTTATCTTTTTTTTTTGTTTTTTGTATCTATGTAGTCTGTGAATTGAAAAAGAAGTTTCCAATCAAGAAGATACTGATCGTCGTTTCTGAATATTCCTGAAAAGGGTCACCGCAAAAAAAAAAACTGCATAAAAAATTACTTTTGTCTGACTTTAGAACTTTTCAGATGTATTTAATAAAAAATATGCTGCTTCTGGCAAAGAATTCCATAGAGCGGGCGCAAGGTGGTTTCAAACCTAAGAAGAACGTATTTTAAACAAGATAAAAAATATTTTTAGATTTATTTCATGATTTTTCCGTTTTTTCTCTGGTTTTATGGAATAATATGTAAATCATTTTTTAGTTTAACGTTTTTTCAATTAAAAGAAATGTTGAAAAAACGTTAATACTTATTAATTATAAACAAAATTAAGAACATTGTGAAAATCCGTAAAGCCGAAAAACAACGTCTTGGTTATCTACGGAGGATTTAAGAAGTCCTTTTCACAAATTCATAGGAGAATAGGGGAGTCTGCAGGGAATCTTTGCTTTTTGGGGCTCCGAAATCAATCATTTAAGGAGTCCTAAAGCTACACTTTTTTCATATATATTGAGAATGCCCTTTTCCCCTGCGGGTATGCTTCTTTGGGACTGTTTTTGGAGCCTCCCTAGGAGCATCAACACACCGTACAGTAATCAAAACCACTTGAAGGATCGACCGATTTCGTGTGCAAAAAATAAGCACTGCACAATAGTTAATAAGGAATGGTTATATGTCGCCGGATAAGAAAATGTTTACTATGGTTCAATACTGTCGTTTTTGAAAGTCCATAGGAGCAAATAAGATACGCCGCACAATTTTTAAACTCTCTTAACCTTCTTAATTTTTCTTGATTGAGTAGCCATTTATAATGAAATTTGTCAGCTAGAGAAGTGAAGTGATTGAAATTTATGTATGCGTTGATCTAGGAGTACCTTTCTTAACTGAGATGACTAACCTTTTAACATTTTTCGAAACAGTTAAAGAACACTAAACTTAGAAGGTAGTACCAGGACATATTAAACAGGTATTAGGGCAAAAACTACATTTATTTTATAGCTTCTCTTAGGTTAGGTTAGGGCCCGTTGTGTTAGAGACTCCATATGTCCCAACTCTTACCCTAGAAATGGAACCACTTCGTAGCTCTGATGAAGCGCACAAAGTCATAGATACTGACTGAATCAAGTTCGGCCAGACATTAAAAAGAATAATGGAGGAACGAGCATCGACGACCTCACCGCCAGAGCAGGACAGTGGCATAAGTAGTGCTCCACGCATTCGACTTCCTCCTCTTCACGGCAGCTACGACAGTAGTCGTTTGACTGCAAACCCATTTTAGTAGCGTGGATTCCCATCAGGCAATGCCCGGTGAGAATTCCAATAACTTGTCGCAGCAGTGGTCGCTCCAAGTGGAGGAGAGGGAGAGATCTACGCTTGTCCAGCTTAGGCCAGAGATGTCTTGCTATCCTGCTTCTCTTATCTAAATTGTCAAAAACTGTTCTGATACAAAAAAGTAAAAATTAAAGATTAAATTAAAAAAAAAAAAGAAATAGTAAATTTGTTTGCTTCTCGAAGCATTGATCCATCATTTGCAAGGCGCAGTAATGAGCGTTTGCGCTGCTAAGTTAGATGAACGTTCACGAAGTTGCTTTTCAATCGCCTGTATTGTATGGGAGAAGATTTCACATTTATATCGAGCCCAAATTGCCAAAATAACGTAAGCGACATTTTTTTCAAAATTTTCTTTTTGATGAAGAAATATTCCTAGAGCATCTAGATTCATTTCTGCATCAAGTCTGCAGAATTAAAGTCGGTTTTGTTTTTTGGTTCAAAATTACTTGTTGAATTAGAATACAGTCTGTTCCCTGACAAAACCCATCCTAACGAAAATTATATAAAATTTTCATCAAAATTTAAAACTTTTTCCCTAACCCCTTGCTTGCATTGTTTATATGAAAAAAATTGCAGAAGAGTGTCAGTCAAAAAATTAAAAAAAAAAAATAACGGTAATGTGTAACTTCTTCAAACTTGCACTTTACTACACTCAAATTTAATTGGCTACATACAAACCTACGTACTCAACACTTTGAAATTTTTATGCATTTTTTTTAATTTTCTACAAAATTTGAAACTTTCATTTACATATCGATACCTGAGTGGAAGATCGACCTATCTCGGTAGCGAGTTCGAAAACGCCCTATCTCAGAAAACTTTTTAAAAATGCCCTACTTCAGAATGTGATTGAAGATCGCCCCATTTCCGAATTTTATTGGAAAACACCCTATCTCAGAATTTGCAGCTGAAAATGTAATGAAAATGTGCTGAGATAGGGCGGTTTTGAATCAGCAGCTGAGATAGAGCGTTTTTCAATCAAATTTTGAATTAGGGCGTTCATGAAAAGTTTACTGAGATGGAGCGTTTTCGAACTGGCTGCCGAGATAGATCGATCTTCCACTCAAGTGTCGATACATATATGGCTTTTGTTAGAGAATGAACTGTATTTTAATTGAAAAATGATGGAAATAAAATAAAACAAAAGTAACCCAGAAAAAAAGCGAAAAAGTAATATCCCGATTTAAGTGCATTGGAGAGTATTCTTAGAAGAAAACGGACAAAACTCAATTTTACAGAGTTTTAAGTGACTTTTTAAGGGCCTTTTTTAAACTAATTTGAGGTTGATGAGCATGAATTTGGTATCCATTTATTTTTCCAAAAAGCCTTTTTTATGATAAAAAAAACATCTTTTTAGTATAAAAAACCCCTTAGAGTAGAGATTTAACCGTTTTCTCAATACTTAATCCTCTTAAAATTCGATGAACCAAATAATACTTTGCTTCCTTCAATATCCTCTCTCTGCGCTTTTCAGAAAAATCAGATTCTGATATAAAAATACAGCTAAGACTTAACCGTTAACAAAGTCAGAATTAACATCAGTGATGACTGGTAAGTCCCACATGGGTTCTAACATCGCAAAGTAGTAGTAGAAATCATTGCCTTACAACCTTTATCTAAGCATATTTCGTCTGTAACTTTTGATAGCTCAACGTCTTCTTAATATCAATTTTTTACCAGGAAAACCTGGAAAAACAATGGAAACCAGAATAGAGGAAAAAATGTTCAAGTCTCCTAATTTTGCTATTAAGCTGGCATTTCAGGGTACTATTTTATATATGTGTATATAAGGAAAATTTGAAAGTTAGGGGGGGAGGGGCTCGAGCACCCCCTGCCCTACCTGGCTACGCCCATGGTTGCGGATTTTACTTTCGCAAACTTTAAGGTATCTATTTCTCAAAAAACGAGTTTTCTTCCTGCCATTATAAATTTATTTGAGAAATTTTATCTTTTTCAAAAAATAAAAACTACAAAACTTTTAACTTTTGGTTATAAAAAATTAGTCACACTCTTTCTAGGGTTAATACACGTATTGAGTTTGTTTTAGATAACCCTGTTTAGTATATTGAAATAAGATATAAAAAAATGCTTTGTTATGTTCTTTATTAAGCGATTTGACAAAATTTAATTTTTAATTATGTTTCGTAATTCAGTTTTGATTGGCAGTAAATTTAATTGTGCTAAGTTGTTAATCCATGCTAAGCGGTGTTAAGCGATTTAGACGATTGATTTTTATTGACTCACTTGATTCACAATGGCCGCTTGTTCCTCGGCTACATCCTGTTGGTGATCGCGCGTCGGCATGGGACTGAAGCATCCGCTCTCGCGCGGTGCCACATAGCCGCCAGATGCGTTCAGTTTTGGAAATACTGTTTGCGGCAACGAATCAACAGGTAATTGTAGAGCACGTTCATAATGACCGGGTCCTGGCAAAAATGGTGAAGGTCCTCTGCGAACGAACAGTTATGAAATGCGTTAAAAATTAAATAAAGAAACATTCAAATTTACACACAAAAACTTGCCTGTGTGGCACATTGGCATTGGATAAGTCTGGGCTGTTGCTATTAACTGGTGATGAGCCGAGACCAGTTCCGTACGGTTCGGCGCCAAGTCCTTGTGTGTATGCGATTTTACTGTCACGATGCACGACGATTTTGATTTCATTGCCGGCGTTGCGGAAAAGCGTCTCAGCGTCGGCGTGGTTCAAATCGCGGGCATCATAATCACGTACCTTGGCTATTATATCGCCACGTAGCACTTCCCCATAAGCAGGGCTTCCTACTTGAACCTGTAAAATGGAAAAATGCACGCATAAGAAAAGTGTTTATGTATCCAACTTTGAAAAATTTTTAATACAAATTGTGCATGTAGCTCGATTGTTCAGAAATAATCAAAAAAAATACTGATACGAGTGTCGTTAGAGTCCCTTGAGGGAAATCTTTCTAAAAATTGACCGACATACATAAATTTGTACATTAGAGTGGTCCAATTTTTGTAATGGGGAAAAAAATGGAATCCTAGAAAACGAAGCACCCCCTTAGTTTTTTTCTTTTGATATTTGAGGCCATGAGGGCCTGAGTGGCGCAACTGACATTTCAAAAAAATTTGAGATGCACTTTAAAATACATTACCAGAATCGAAACGGTAATAGCCCGAGGCACACCCATTTAGTATTCCTTTACTAAAATATGTAGCATCACTTAGGTGCAAAGAACATTTTAGTAAAAGACCGCCTTTTTTGTATAGATCCTTCTTTCTCATATTACTAAAAAAAATTTTTTTGGAGATATGCTCCTCTGGCCCTAATGGCCTCAGTTGTAATATCTATATCATCTTTCAGTTTTCTACTATAACCAATACAGGGTGCACAATAGCCTTGAAATGTGCTACTGGATCGTTGTGATACTGGCAAAAATATTGGTGATTTTTATAAAAAGTTAAGTCCTAGTTATCATTAACACAATGCGACAAAATCGCAATGACATTTAATAAAATTGGCCTACAGCGACATCTAGCGCAGAGCTAATAAAGAAACAAACTTCAAAAATGAATTCCTCGTATCAGAAACTCTTATTTGAATATTTTCTAAGAATATTTTTGAAGAACTTAACCTAATTAAACAATAAATTGTGTGCAAGGATTCGATTAAGGATATCCACCATATTTGAGCCATTAACGTAGTATTATTAACACCTAAAACTATCACTTGCATTTGATTTTACTCAATGCCGATTTAAGCTGTCGCACAGTGTAATGAGCCGAAACGACGCTGTGAACTTTTAAAAGAAGTTTGAATTAAGACACATTAACAGGTCTATTCTGCACGTCACCGATGATTTTGTAACCGGAAAATTGTTTTTGTGTTTGTTATTCAGCAATTCAGCTATGAAAATTTGTGGAAATTCTGCCATTGTATTTATCACGGGAAAATATTTTTCGTTACCAGCCTATAAGAATTTACATACAGATGTATGTCATAAGAATAAGGCCATAAATCTATAAAAATTGACTTGAGATCGTGTGTAAATATTTATAACATTTTATCAGATTATGAATCAAAATAAATCACATTCAATGTTCAACCGAATTTAGCTTAAAAATGTAAATGGATGTCAAATCAAATATGAAATGTCGCACACAATCTGTCCCCATTGCGAGTGGTATTTTTGGGGCTCATTAAATCATGGACGTGGCCTTCAATTTCTAGTTTTTCGATTGACTGAAAGTGCAAATGCAAATTGTGCAAACCTAATTGATTTCATTTAAAAATTCATACACATGAACGTCTATTTTTGTTCATAATTATCACAGATTGAAAAGAATCACTTTCGTGGACGATGTATTCATATGTGTTTGCAAAAATAGTAATTTGTGGGAAGCACTTGCTATCGAAAGTTTTATATTCATGGCTTTGATTGGAGGAAACAAAAGTCATTTCAATTTTCTGGAGATCGTTTTACCAAAGAACACCATAGTAAATACATACACACACATTTATTCAGAAAATTCAACTAAATATTCCGGCAGAAAAAAAGTTGCCGAAGAAGAGGAGCTGAACTAGAGTCCGACCGATTAATCGGCATCGGCATCGGCTAGTATCGGCCAAAAGAATCGGCATCGGCATCGGCTGTTTTAATTTTTTTTTGCACTTCATTCCATGTTATTCATTTTTTACTTTTTTAATTCCTTTAAATCTTAAAATATCAATGCATCTGAGTTTTCCTGTCATAAATGTGTTCTCAGGTTGCGTTTTTATGATGTACGGTGGCGAGAATGTAAATAGGGAAGACACATTTTAGCAAGTTTTGGCTATTTTTCTTTCTTTAAAGGATCATTTATAAAAATTCGACAAATTTTAACAAATTTTCATCAAAGTTGGGAACTGTTTAGTCAGCTTTTATATTTTGAATTTTTTTAATTTTTTTTTAGTATAATAAAGGACTTGAATAAGAAAAAGACTATAGAGCAAAGTATTGCAATGATATGTATAAGTGATCTACTATTTTTTAAAACATATTTACGTATTTACACAAATAAGTGAATAGATTCTTGGATGACTATTGTTTTTGTAATGTTATTTAGTCATTTGATCTTTTGTTATTATTAAAATTTATTAAAAGCATTTCTTCTTGAATGAATTTATATTTAGGTAGTTTTTTTTAAGGAATCGGCATCGGCCAAAAATTGGGAATCGGTCGGACTCTAGGCAGAACACCGCGCTTAGGGAGTATAACCCTCACTAAGTAGAATTCTCATTTCTGTGTTGCCGAAGAAGAGTGGCTGAACACCTTTTGCAGAATAAGAGTAATCAGTTTACGCATATTTTGAAAATTTGCAAAGTATACCATATTTCAAATTAAAATTTTTAATAAAAATACTCCCTTTATTCCCTAATGTTATCGAGATCAATACGAAACAAAAGTAGATAGATTGTTGAACATCCCTTCATTTTTGTGCATTTAATTTTCGAACATCTGGTAACACTTTTCTGTTCGCCATTACAGCCAATTTATTTGTTTGCTTGTTTAAAAAAATAGTTAAATATTATTACTGATAAAGTGAAAAGAGTGATAAATAATGTAAAATAATTGGGGTGCTGATATGTTTTTTATAAAAATTTTATTAGAAATGTTAAAATATAACTATTAAAAATTTATAATAATTTACCTCAATAATTTTTCTCTTTTTAACCAACTTCAAAAAAAGGAGAGGTTATCAATTAATCGGATTATTTTTTTTTATGTATATTACCGCATAACTTTGGACCCCATTAACCGATTTCGATAATTCTATTTCGGGTGTCTCAGGAGAGGTCCCATACTAATTTGGTTTAGATGCGATCATTGGATCATAAAGAAATTAAATCTAAATTTTTATATGAGAATTCAAGTCGGTATTTTATTTTGTTAAAAAATGCTTTGTTTATTTTAACAATAGTCTTCGAGGGTCTTCTGCAAATCGATAAATTGTTTTAGTGATGATTTCATTTTGTTTGTTTTTTTTTTGCGCCCCCCTTAGCCCATACCTCCGTACGCCCATGTATGTTTGTATCACAAAACTGTTACTCCCAGCCTAAGAAGACAGCAAAATACCAAGGCGATTATGAGCGATAAGTATTTTTTGAATGGCCATTTCATTCAACTTATAAATAACGGTATTCTATGTATCTTAAACTGAATAACAAAGAAATGCAAATTATCTGCCGATAAAAAAAAAAACAAGTTTCAACAGTAACGATGCGCGCAATTTTCTTCGGAATTGGGAAATGGTGCCAAATAAATATATCATAGAATAGAACAAAAAAATATAAATAAAACAAATATTGGGAAATTGAATTTTTTAATCTGAACTTGCATCGTTTTCCCCAATTGCACCGAGTGGCAAGTGGATGCCTACCCAATTTACAATAACACAGTTTTTTTTTTCTTTGCGCCTGTTACTTGTTTTGCTTGCGCAGTTCTTTGTTTGTTTTAATCTGCTTGCACACCGCCACTGGCTGCAGAATGCACCCCGCCACACTCAAAGACACAAAACAATTGGCACTTGGCTGCCAAAACAGTCCGAGGTCTTTTGCCATTTTTTTTTTGTTGTTTATTTTTGCATTTTTACTTTTTCTATATTTTTTGGTTTTTGGCCTTCATATGTTGCAGAGTCGCACAGCACAGTCAATGGTCTTAAGATCATATTACATAATAAATATTCTCATGAAAGGAGGTAATCACAGAGCTGATGGTACTTGTGCTAGGGGTGGACGACTTATTTTGTCGCCTTTTGTTACCCTGGTTATGATGAGCGGAGTATCCAGATCGTTGCCGCCGACCAGACGAATGCCCCAGGGTGTATTGGGACCATCTCGTTGCAGAACTACGGTGAATTCATGTAGTTTCGGGCTCATCGCTTGCCACGAAAAGCAGCTTCCTTAAGGTGAAAATAACGTCGACGACGACGACGAAGCCAACTACTTTTTCAATCGAACACAAAAACAGGACACTTCGCAAAAAACTGGTTCGTCGTAAAGGCAAATACAAAAAGAAAAAATCACAGCGCACTCGCGTTAACAGAAACGCACGGCCATCGAGGAGGCAAGTGGACTTCTAACGCTGCTCCACTGACACCGTGACGGTATGCTTTGTATCTTTCGAGGCAATGTGGATACGCAGACGGCGGCTACGTTCTGTTTGTCTAGCTGTGGCACGGCGCTCGGGCGCTCGGGCGGTTTGCGGCGGTGTTGCAACAAGCCGATTACACTGAAAATTCGCAGACGATTTGATCGCGCTGAAAGTTGCTCAAGCACTAATTTTAAATGCGCCACAAACATCGAATCGAATTTGCGGCGGAAGCCGAAATGCTTTTTTTTCCTTATTTCATTCGACGTTTTTGCAATCCATCCATCTTGGGCCCTCTCCCCCGGCTTGTCCCCTTCTTCTTAGTTGTCCTCTTGTGGCCACCACAAGTTTTCGGTGCCTTTTAGTGATGGTTCTTTATTTTTTCCGTTTTATTGATGCTTTTACGATTCGTTTGGTTTTTTTTTTCAGTTACAATTTTTATTTATTTAAACTTTCATTGTATTTACAAAAGAATTGTTAAAATCATAAAAACAGCCAAAATATATACCACTAACTAAGAGGAATTAAGCGCGAAACGCGAGTGGAAAACGGAAATGAATAAAAAAAAATACTAATAAATTTATGTACATATGTATGTATTTAGCCATGTGTGTATGTATAAGTTTTAGTTTTCCCGTAGCCATTTACCAATACCTGATTATCTTCAAAGGTAAACGATCCACGACGAACGGAATATCCCCGTGGGTAACTAGGTAACTAGGGGCAGCCGCATGTGGCTTAACCCAGTGGAAAAATGGGGAATGCATTACCTTTTTCTACCAAGCAGAGATTAACAACTACGGTTGAACGAAAAGATGCATGGCAATGTAAGCGAGCGGATAATAGGTAGTTTTGAAGCTACAAACAAAACAAAAAGTTTGAGGGCTAACTTAAGTATATCTTTTTTCACGTTATCTGAACAGCTGCTGTAGCCGAACTTGTTGGTCACGGGTTCAAACCGGTGCACAGTGGGTCAGAAGAGAGAAAAAGTGGCCAAAATTTTTGCTTTACTATTTAAACATGAAAAAAAAGTCAGAAAGAATGGCTTTTATGATATAGCTTATTATCTAAGGTATCAAAATACGTGGTATATCGAAAAGTACCAGGTGTACAAAAATTATGAAAAATACGTGAAAGGCACATATTTTGAATTTTTCGAAGTTTTAGTATCTTTATAGTATAAAGTTTATACATATAAACAACTCAACGGGTTTACTCTATTTTCTCCCATACTACTTGGTATTTGTTGTAGAAAGTTTCTGGTGAAAAAATCTAAGAACAGGGTTGCCAGATACATGAAAATTTATAATTGTTAAAAAATTATATATTTCTAAAAAGTTACAATAACGTTTATTAAAAAAAAAATGTATGCTTATTTAATATTACAATATAGGTGTCAAACGAAAGGTGTTTGAACAAGCTTTAACACTAACATGTTTTTGAGTACAATTACCTATTTATCAACTAAGGCTATCATTTTAATTATTTAATTAAAATTAATAATTATAATTTCACTTCGTACCTGATTTTAAGTCCACTGAACTAACTACTAATACATTACTGAACATCTAGAGGCAAATCCCTTTCATTTGACATCTCATGTTTGATAATTCAACGAACGGAATAACTTTTTATACAGGGGCCAACCCTATAGAATTTCTAGGTACCAAAGATGATTATATTAACAAAATCTTGGTCAAAAAATCTGGACTTTGCTTTACACTATGTAAGGAAGGCTATGCCCGTTCATTTGGTATGCCATTATTTTATCCAACAAACGGTGAATATCTTATAAATTTTAAATAGTTGGCAACCCTACTCGAAAAAATAATACATTATTGCACATCTAGAGGCTAAGTCTGAAAAGACTTTGAAGGTGACGGCGCAGAACTGATACCTTCGCTTATTAAGATTGAATATAGTAATTTTCTTAAGAGTTGTAAACCCTACTCAAAAAAATAAAACATTAAATATTTAGAGGCCAAACCGTTTCATTTGACACTTACTTGTTTGTAATCCCACAAACTGTGCGGATCTTTTAATTCTTTAGACAGGTGGCAACCCTATAGAAATTCCAAATGCAAAAGGTCACTCTCCTGTCGATACAGAATATATATGAATGAAAATCTCGTCCAAATCCGTTCAGTAGTTTTTGAGATTCTCCTTTATACTAAATTTGTATAGATATGACCAGAAAGAAAAGTTACTCATACGCCGTGTAACGTGCATGTTCATAGACGAACAAACGTTCGACTTTTATTAATGTACATATGTTTCAAATGTCATAATTTTTTGTTTTTGCATACTTCAAGGTAACTAGATTAAATAAGTTTATTGTTTTAAACTTTTAAATAACATTGATTTTTGGCCTCTTTTCAGTCTTCTGGCCTATTGTGCAGCATTGGCACTAATCGATTGATTTTTAAAACAATTAATTAATTCGATTTAATTCAATCCGATTACAGTCTATCATGATTAATTTTAATCTAATTGAACAGTTAATCGATAAAAAAATAATAATTTTTAATCATTAACCCTCAATTTTATTAAGTAGGTTTGGTTATTAATTAATTTATGCTGGAATTTTCCCGCGCACACAAGGCCAGTTAATCGGGTATGGCTAGGTACTTCTTCCACAATATAATAACTATAACTGTTGTTTGGTTTCAAATTCGGACAAACTAGGCCACTTAATCAGGTTTTCATTTTAATTGGATTAACGATTAATGATTAAAATTACTTCATCGTAATGACAATCGACGATTAACGGTTAAAAAATTGAATTATTAATCATACAGTAAGAAAAAAAGGAATGCATTCCGATTTTCCCACTGGGTTAAACCACAAAGAAAGAACAATAGTCGAAAATGTAATAACAGCATCCCCGCCAGCGTAGGTCCCGCTCGCACAAGAGTTTAGAATAAGAAACATCGCAAAACATTTAATTTACAATGATATATTTATGCACTGTGTACATACATATACTACATGTAGATACATGCATATACATATACGAGGGCAAACTGATAGAGCTATTTGCCTTTCACATTAATTATATGTCCACCAAATTGTTGTTTTTGTCTATATTTTTCTCGAACCAGAAATCGAACTTAGGTCATACAGAACATCAGTACGCGTCTCTAACCACTCAGTCAAGGCAACCGCCATAAAAGGCAGCGTATTCATTCACCTCGATAACTTGTTCCTGCCATATTTCGACTTATTTAAGCCTTTCGCAGCTATTACTTAAAGCTCAGCTAGTCTAGACTTAATTTCCGTTAGTTAAAACTTAACTTACCGTAAGCAACTTAAGAACCTGTAGATTTTAGATTCTTAAATTAGGGCCTTACGGAAATTAAGAGCGGTGAGAGAATCGAGGCTTGCCAGATCGTCACGTCATTGTATCTCTCAAACATAAATGAACGCAAACATATTTTTTTCATGCATTTTTTTTTTTTTGATGTGACATTTTAGGCGGTAAACTGTCAAACAGCTGAAAAAGAAAAGTTGACGCTTTGAGTAATCATTGATGATTTCTTGCGGTAAGTAAAATTAAGTTAAGTCTTGACTAACTGAGCTTTGAGTCTTTTTTAAAACAAATATTTCCCTCTTCTAGGTTTTTATTATTTCATTTTGGTAGATGAAGATTGTTCAATTTGCGTTATCAGAAAAAAATCGAAATAACCTTTTAAGTCGATCAAAAAGAGTCTCACTTTCTAAGGGCATTCGATTTGTGTTTCATCAAAGGGATTGGTTCATTGCAGACATTCCTTTGAATTACATTTAGATAAATATATCTAAATAATGCCCTTAAATGCTCAATATTTTAGCTATCAAATCCTCGACACACAACTTGCCAGTGTTGCCAGATCAGAGGCTTTCCCCCTACATTTAAGGATTTCTAACTGCCCTAGGGGTAAATATATGGGGGGGGCATATATTTTCGTAGAATAAACCAAATACATACATACAATATGTATGTTCGAGTACGTACTTAGTTTATCGATTGCGCCGCACAATATTTGGCAGTTGAGGCATTTAACGATCTGACCTCGTACAAGCGTAAGTATGTATGTATGTATGGAAAACGTCGTTAAATTTTTGATTTGCAGAAATAAAACAACGAACAAATTTACCACATATGTACATACGTTGTTTTACGAGTTCATACATACATACATACATATATGTATATGTAAATTTTTTCGAAATGAAAAGTGTTTATTAAATTGGCCGCCATGTCCAACTACAAGACATTTATGTAAATAAATTGTAGCCAAGAGTGAAATGTTGCAAGTGAAACGTAATTCAAGGTCGTCTTTATAATATCTCATTGATCAAAGTTAACGCAATACTGAATATTTATATCTACTCGTACAAGTGTAATAAAATTCCAATTAAATTTATAAACCAGATGTTTAGCGCCAGAGCGCACTGTCCGAAAAATCGAACTAAACGAAGTAACGCAATTGAGGATATTTTTAAATGCCACTTGTACATGAAATAATCGCTTTGTGCATGTGGCATAGCATTTTATATCAATCTCTATGAGTTGAGTTTCGCAAAAGAAAAAAATATATTTAAAAAAAAAGGCCGCGCAGGAACGCAATAAACCAAAATCAGAATGTATGTACCAAGAGCTGTGTAAAGCACTCAAAATTCTTGTTTTGAAATATGTACATATATTTGATGTTGATTACATTATTGTCACTAGTTTTTCTTCTACTGAAAGAACAATTGCAGGAGGTATCAAATCATGAGTCCAGCACTGTGTTATGGTATGCTCCTCAATGTTATAAAATATGTACATAAGTATGAATGTATGTACATAATATATTAGAGCACTGCACGATTACATGATAATAGTAGTGTTTTCGTATTCTCCAGCAAAAAATATCCAGTAACTTGCCAGTAACCAAATTTCGGAGAGTAAGCCAATATTTACTCCCAATAAGTGAAATATGCAAGAAAGTACGAAAACGCAAAACCAGCAAAAAGTTGCTAGTTTTATGAACAGCTGATTAATTTGTTATTTTCCGATGCAATTTTCTTAGAAAACTAGTATTCTCCATCTTATTATATATTTAAATAGGTTTACTTTGTCAATTGCCACTCTAAAAGCACCACACACAATTAT